AGTCTTATCATAACTTCGTAAAAAGAATCATGTTACACTTCACTTAAATTCTTTTTAAAACATAAATCTTTTGCTTCGATCACCTTGAACCGTTGTTATTTTGAAAATATTTTTATATTATGTAGCAAGTGAAATATTGAAAAAATTTCTATTCTCGAAATTTGTAAAATTTCAAACGTTTTCAGAAATATTGAGAATTTTTTTATGGCTGGAAATCTACCATATGAAATTTAAATTATGTCTTTTTTCAATGACATCTTCAAACTTGCTGTAAAGAAATTCGCTAGTATGCACATAGAATCCACGTAATAGAAGTATAAGCATAAACGCCGATAATCGTGAAAAGAGATAAGACTACAGTCTTACAAAGAACGATCAACGGCAGGCGAGGTGAACAAGCAATTCAATAGAAGCTGTCGAGCGATTCGGATAAACTGCAAATCTTTGGAATACTGAATTTTATAATTATTTTTTATATTGCTGTATTATTTCTTATACTTCTGTACTTTTTTCGCCATTCTATTAAACTATAACCATTAGGATTAGACGACGAAATGTCAGGATTTTTCGAATTATTAACATCACATTAGTTTATACATTAGCTATGTTTGTAATACTATAATTCGCAGAATTTAATTTTCTAATTCTCTGATATTTTAAAAACTAGTCGAAGTTAAAATTTTACATTTGAGTTCACGACTGCTTCTCTATAGTATTCTAAAATGTCACGCGATTCGTCTCCGGGACAGAATTACAGTTATTACAATTATTTTATTTCTACTTTTTTTCTAGTTATAAATTCGACCGTTTTTGTTACATTAAGACCCGATCTGACAAAATTTGTACTATTCGTTTGAAATTTTATGTAGATTTTGAAGTTCACTATAACAAAAAATTTGCAGAAACACAGAAAAATATTTTTTTCATCTTTTCATAACATCTTATAGTAGATATTGTAAATTAATCAAAAAATAAACGCTCAGGTATAATATTTTTTTAAATTAAAGTTCCAGAGATTTTTGGAGTCGGAAGGATTACATGCACAAATTATATGCAAAGTTTTGAAATTGTGACATGCAACTTTTCATCTTGCAGCCACGTTTTTTTATTCTTTTTATTCAATTATAAGCGCATCTTTTTTAACGTATTCTCCGAACTAAACCAGATCTAACTAGTGACTCGTATTCCACTTCGAGAATCACAGGGGAAGAGCTCTCTTCCCTCCGTCGTTTCTTTCTGTCATGTACGAGTCTCACCACACAAAACTAGTCATTAAGTTCTATTTAATTGCCGTGCGCCGCTTTTACAATCACATTTCATATCAGCTAGTTTTAGCAAATGTAGTAGTTAATCTACAGGAGATAATAAGCTCGCTAAATAAGAGTGAGGCTTGGAAAAAAAGAAAGAGGGAGAATGTAAAGTCGGCTTATGTAAGGTCAGTATCATACTGTTAGCGGAGGGAACAAAGTGATCAAGACGGTAATATATTATTAGTATAATGAATTATGTTTCATGTATCGTATATTTTATAAAAGGAACGACTCAAAAATTTACATTTAAATAAGGACTCGATACATATACACATGTTGCCCTACGTAACGTACCTTGTGCCCATTTAATTATATTTCACTATATTAAATTCTATTAAACTGGTTTTTAATATTTCAATTAATTCTTAATATATAAAGCTCCATCAACTGTAATTAATTAATTTTACTAGAAACGTGTGAAACACTGGAAATTTCAAGTGGCTAGTGGCCGTAACATAGAAATATTTTTACGGTAAGACTCTTTTTTATACTTGCTCTTGTCCTTATTTCATTTATTTTAAAGTGAACGTGTTAAGTAACGACAACAGAGATCTTCAACAAGGTAAGACGATTACACGATCTTCTGAAAAAGAGCATAAGACATTTCGTTAATAATATCACATAATGGTAATTAACATATTAATGCCCGATTAATTTGAAATTTGTCATTATTGCGATTGTGCTTTCGGTACAAAATTTCATTAGAGAGGCATTCACTTGAAAATAACCGTAATATGCGTTTATTGACGAGAGAAATCGATAAACTCCCTTGAGTTTGTTTCTGTAAAAAGGGGAAATGTTGTCATTGAAAGACAGAATATAATATTTGTCAAAAGCATTCTTCAGACAGTTAATCAATCGCATATTAATCTCCAATGTCACATTATTTTTAACGAAAGAGACATATGTACAATAATTATCTGCAAAGACTTAATCAAAATTGAAAATTCATATATATATGAATGATTAGTTTTTGAATATACTTCGCGATTCGAAAATTATTATCACTTAAGCATTGCAACAATTTTCGTTCCGCAGTGTTACATGCAATATGACGTATTCTAATTCTAGTTGTCATCAATATTAATATATTTTTCTGTGAACGAAAAGAAATAATCTGTTTCTATTATATTTTTAATTCTGTTTTACGAAAATGAAGAGAATTGAATTCGTACATCT